GTGGCAGGTTTGTAGGGAAAATAGGAGAGCATTTGCGTTGCAGAGAAAAGAGTGAAAGATGTAAAGGGAAATGTAATTAAATATTCAAAAATCAGTCAAGTGAAGTAGTCACGACATGTGTGGTTCCTTGCTTACAGGCAATGAGAAGTGAAAAAAATAAAGTCACGTAGTTAAGAAAGCGAGTAAATAAAATAGTAAAAGAAAATAAAACCAAACGCGTAAAAGGGTAGAAACGTGATTTCAGTAAGAAACGTGCTTACGTAAGATTGCAAAATGTAGTAGCGTAACATGTGTTCTATATATGCAAATGTAGGGTGGGTTGAAATCGCAACGACTAATCAGAAAAGAGAAAGACTCAAGGGAAACGAACAGAACCAATGAAAGAAGTTATGACTTCAAAATGTATAGAGAGCGACGCTAAAATCGAAGCATCATTTCGCTTTACGCATGTAGTGAATCCAGTTCCTTCAGTGATCTACATTGGGTGTGATATACGATGGCCTTGTCATCTCTCAAGCCTCTCCACCCTGAAATTAGAAATCCGGTTTCCTTACAAGACTTAGCAGCGGCAGCCTTGCCAAATCCTGGGGAAACAGTCCGTACATTCCTGCCCCAGTGGCATACGGTTCGAAAACAGCTGGAAGAACAAGAATACCAAACCATGAGAGCTGAATATCAGAAAGAACACGCCAAAAATTTCAGGTACGTATTGAAAAGGTATCATAGAACGTGAAGGAAAAAAAGACGCCCAAAAGAAATTGCATTCTGTTTTGTCGCGTAGAGAAACCTTGATGCTAGTATAATGGTTGCCGTATTTGGACGCATCTCTTTCTATATTTCGATTTTATGTTTGTTGAAACAAACATACTTATTGATGGGGATATGCTACGAGATTTAGATTTACAGCTTTCCGTCAAAGTGGACTTTTTGAATTTTTCGTTCGCATTAGGACTACTCGAAATCTAAGGAATGTAGTCTCGCATGATTCATCAGCAAGTGAAAGTTACACGCAATAATCATTCGGTTTTGTGTTTTACATCTCTTGTACACGAATTTTTTCGGAAATCAGGCTTTTGCCGCAATGCCCATTCATTTTGTGGGCTTATAATACAGAAAGATGCGGATGTGAATTTTGCCTTGGACTTGCCCGTTTACTAATACAAGACCACTTGAAGTTTATGAATTATGAAGACTTTGATGTTCTTTCGGCCTTTAGTGAATTTAATAGAACCTATCCAGATATTCCTGAAAACCATGTATTTATTGTAATGAACCACTGATTTTGATATGCACTTATATATTTCTAGAAAAGTATTCAAACAGTTTGTCTACTGAGAAGAATGCCAGTATACAGGATGGCTAACACAGCCGATATGGAATTTTGCTACAGTCATTGTCTCAGAATTTTAAACTATAGGTTAACCTTAGGTGAATTACATAGTGTTGGATTCTGGAATTATGTAAATGCAACAATTGAAAGTCACTGGTTGATGAGACAAAAATGTATATCGTTGTATTTTAAGTTATTTCAAGATTTTGTTGAATTTGGTGGAGAGCTCTACACATGTCTCCACACGTCCCACTTTGTAAATAGGCTTAAAATAAAAAAAGTAGACGGCAATTGCTTGTGAGTTATTGACTGGAAAAAAGAGGGAAACAAATGAATGTGGAGGGTTTAAAACGCAAAAAATATAGAAACCATTAACGTGAAACAAGATGGTGGGTTAATAAGGGAAAACAAAGGTTCTTAATCCCTGAAAGGAAACCAAGATGGCGGCTTAAACTGTGAATAGAAATCAAGATGGCCACTTAATCACTGAATAGAAAGGAAAAGGTCACGTAATGAAAAAATAAATGATGAAAATGGTTAGAAAAAGAAGTAGAAGGGAAAAACATGATGAAATAAATGTGTAAAAACCAAAACATGCACTCTCTCACGGCATTGACTTCAAACAAGATGGCGGGTTAATGAACGAAAAAATACCAAGATGGCCGCTTAATCCCTGAAAGGAAAAGCAAAAGGTCGCAAGTTGAAATAAACGTGAGTTGAAAGGACACACATAGCTTAAAACGTGGGGAAAAAAAGGAAACGTGCAACGTTGCATGTTTCACCAAGACAATGGAAAACGATAATCAAGCCATTGATAGTCAAATCCAAGGTAAGTAATCGCTCTTAAAGAAAAAAAAATTAGAAAGTAACCTATGCTTTGGAGGTACAGGTTGGGCAGTGGAAATAGCCAAACTTCTCAACAGAACACTGTACGTGTATGATGTGCAACGCCAAATTTGGTTCTGGTACAGACACAATCAAGATTTATTCTACCCCTGTGATTAAATGTCAGAAGAACAGTTTGCTTTACCCACCTTTCTACCCCAAACAGCCATTGTGGGTGTGAGGAACATTTACGATTTTCCAGAGGCTTTATTGGAACTTCAAGATACATTTAAAAGTAGTCTAAAAATAACTGTATAACTTGTTGAAGCATAATTTATTCCACTGTATTCATAACACTGTTTTATCAATAAATATTTTGATTCCCATTATTGTGATCGTCTCGATTGTATAGTGGTTAGTACGTCTGTTTGTGGCACAGAAAGCTCGGGTTCGAATCCCGAGAGGGACCTTCTTTTTGGTGTTGATCCATCAATGTCGAAAAGACTCTTTTATTTTATTCTTCTTTCTTTACGTTCGAAACGTGGTAGCACATTGTGTTGCGGTTAGTACAGGCTTCACGTGGTAGCTAACATCCCAAGGTTGAACGTTCGAGTCTCCCTTTCGCCTTTTTTATTCAGCTTCACAACGTTTTACGTTTTTCCCACATTCGTCACTGCGCATGCGTTCTGCCTTGCGCATGCGCCCTGCGCAGGGCCACCAATTCTGTCCCACATGTGTGCTCTGACTCAACCGATTACACATATAAATTCGCTTCCCCCTTTAGTATAATAACTACTCACGTGTCTCTCCTTCTTGCCTCATGACATCATCCCTCGTTAACATAATTCCGACCCCCTTCCGAAGGGACCCGAGCCCTCTCCAAAGGCTTCCAACCACACCCGAGCCTCGTTCTAAGATATTTCCGATTTCCCTCAACAATAGATCAAAGTATCCTCTAGACCAATCAGAAAGCTCGAAAGACAATAGACCTCCTATCTAGAACAATGTGTCCTATACAGACGACCAATGCTGCTGCAGTGTTTTACTGTAACTAAGAAATTAACTTGCGGTCAAAGTCTGGAAATAAGAAAAGTTATAATATGCGGACGTTTGAGAAAACAATAACAAATTCACTCAACATTACATTTTTGGGGGAAATTCGGCGAGAAACAGTATAAACCACAGACCCATGTGATTCAGACAGCCCACCAGTGGTTTGCACTCTTAAACGATCCTGCGTTTGATATCCGCACTGTTCGCATTTGCACCGACGATGTCATGGAAGTGGTGACCACTCAAGCGGAAGAATACCAGAAAAGTTTCAAAACAAATGTGTTTATCGCTGTGTTTATGACCACTCACGCCCGCTTAAAGTTGTATGAAGCCTTGGAAACATTACAGGAACGGGTTCTCTACTACCATACTGACTCCATCATCTATCGTTGGCGCCCGGGTCAAACAGAAATCCCACTCGGTTCCTTTCTCGGGCAATTCACAGACGAACTGGAAGGAGACCCTATCGTTGAATTTGTCAGTGGAAGTACAAAGAATTATGGCTATTTGACCCAGTCTGGACACACAGAATGCAAAGTGCGTGGATTTTCCCTCAATTACAGAACGAAGCAGAAGCTGAACTATGAAACCATGAAACAGAAAGAAAATTTGAAAGAGTTGGACGACCTGCGGGAGATACGTCAGCAAATGGACATTGTGGATAAGAACTTTTTTGACTGGGATCAAACAACTAAATGTATTCATCTAATTGGAAGAATCAAGCGGTATGGCTTAGTTTTTGAAAAGTGTGTGATTGATCGTAGCACACGCAAATCTTATCTTTATGGCTACTGCCGCATTTTAGATATAAATCTATTTACTGCTTTCTTTGTAATATTTAGATTAGAACTTTTTTGCGTAAAATCATGTTAGATCTGCATGATGGCGTCAATCTAATAGTAATGTAACGTTAAATCGACAGGGAGGTTTAACGAAGAATAAACTAAGTTTGCGGATTTTTTCCTGTGTTTTCTCTGGGTATAAATAGAGGGTTGAAAGGGGTAAGGTAGTATTCCTGTATGGACCATGGCGGATGTGTATTTAACCGTGGTCAGTGATGTGACTAGCAGCTATGCGAATAATGAGGCCAATCACTTTAAAGTCAAGCTTTCTCAAAGTTTGCTTTAACCTGGACCCGGGTGGAAAGTGTCTATTGCCCCGGCCATTCTACCCAAAATGTCCCTTTTAAAAGACCTACAAAGCAAGAATGTCAATTTGATGGAAATATGGTACGAGACGGAAAAATGGGTCAATCCCCTGTCTACAAAAAATGCTATTGCAGTGCCGCGGATTTACGCCTGTGGAAGAAAGCAGGGGTGTGTTGCGATTGTCTTTCCTTCCAGGGCTAGAGCGTCTGAACGCTTACATCTAGTCTTTTCTTTCGTTAATATAGAATCACCAGTCAACTTTTTCAGTGAATGAAATTTCAGATAATTTGGTTGATGAGGTAAATAAAAACTATATAGACTAAGTAATAAATTCTTATATCAACTATTACATTTTATCCCCATGTTATTAATGTTCTTAGCCTTACAAAGTGTTTTGCTATTTATTTGTAGAGGTGTTGGCGTAAAAAGTCTGTTAGACTTTGGATGAAGAAAGAAAGTTTTGAAGATTCCATCTACTGAACAAGGATTTGGCGCAGAAGGTCTGTTAGACTTTGGATAAAGAAAGTTTCATGTTGGATGGTTTCCATGTCAGAGTGTCAGGAGAGTTTCGCAGAGCGCATGTTCACTTATAATACATGTGGAGAATCCTTTCACAACCATACACCCTATAATGCTCATATTTACACCGCGCATTTAACTGCACCAGCTACCAACCGTAAACACACGTGGAAGAAATGTAGGAATGGGAATGCAGAGAAAAAAAGAAAACCAATAGAGAATTACAGTGATAAATTGCCACAGAAGTCCGCAGAACCCTCGACAAAGTGAAGATTATGAGCCCGCAGCTAATTTTTGGAGCAGCGTGGTCTGTGCTAGTTGCTTTCCATTCATCACTTGCTAAATAAATTGGAGATATTGCAGTATCCGCTTTCACAAAACAAATATGTAACCTTTTTCGGAAAAGAGGTAAATTTGAGTGAAAAATAACTTTCATTTCTTTTCTCTTAAGGTTCTATCAACCTGTGTGGTTTGCCTTGAGGAAGAGTGGAACTTAAGGGAACTATGATGCTGTGGGCAAACTACCCATGAAAAGTGTTTAAGAAAGTGGCGCCTGACGTTGGTAGAAAGTTCTAGCGGGTGCCCACACTGCCGTCAGCCTATGCAATTGCCAATTACCACTAAGGGTGGCATTGCATGGAAGGCAGTAAGTCAATTTATCCAATAAGCGTGGAATTGTTTTCATTAGGTTACTTTGATTTCCTTTTCAAGTTTGGTATTCCTCCTGTTCAGGAGGAAGGTGTTCAATTTACCATCAAGCATGACTATGCCTTAATATGCCTTAATACTCCTCATCTCCGTTTTCTTGAAGTCACCAACTTTCTGGCACCTAGGTTCAGTTACGACAAGTTTCTCATGGGCTAGAAGTGTCCTCAAACCAGAGGGTTCTTTCCATACGAATGGGTAAACTCTCGTGACAAGTTACAACACCCTTCTCTTCCACCTCACAAAGCCTTCTCCTATACACTCAAAAAGAAGAATATTTCCAAACAAGACTACCAGTATTGCGAAAAAGTCTGGTCTGACAACCACATGCAGACATTAAATAAAAGATTTTCTGATTTAGTATAACAACCTAGATTTGCAGCCCTTCTGCAAAGCCCTGGAAAAGTGTACACTTTCTGGAAAGACAAGAACAGAGAAAAAATCCAACTTAGAAGGAAAGTAGTTTTTTAACACCAAGTTAGCAGCATAGGGCGTCTATATTGTCGATATTGTTATGCAAATGAGGTGGCTATTGTTCATGAAATCATGGGAGGTGCTCGACAAGCGTGGGAAATCATCGGAAAGGATGACATCATGAAGCATAAAGGAAGGACACTTGAGCAGTTATTATACTATAGGAACAATCGAACTTATAGGTGTAATCGGTTTGGTCAAGGAAGACTTGGGAGAGATAGAGTCCCTTCTCAGTGCGCAGACGCAAACCAGAACGCATGCGCAGTCATGAATGGTAAGACAAACATTGCAGAAAAGGGAAAATAAGATTAACAGAGACTAGTAATACAAATGTATAATCTTGTGGCAGGTTTGTAGGGAAAATAGGAGAGCATTTGCGTTGCAGAGAAAAGAGTGAAAGATGTAAAGGGAAATGTAATTAAATATTCAAAAATCAGTCAAGTGAAGTAGTCACGACATGTGTGGTTCCTTGCTTACAGGCAATGAGAAGTGAAAAAAATAAAGTCACGTAGTTAAGAAAGCGAGTAAATAAAATAGTAAAAGAAAATAAAACCAAACGCGTAAAAGGGTAGAAACGTGATTTCAGTAAGAAACGTGCTTACGTAAGATTGCAAAATGTAGTAGCGTAACATGTGCTCTATATATGCAAATGTAGGATGGGTTGAAATCGCAACGACTAATCAGAACACATAGCTTAAAACGTGGGGAAAAAAAGGAAACGTGCAACGTTGCATGTTTCACCAAGACAATGGAAAACGATAATCAAGCCATTGATAGTCAAATCCAAGGTAAGTAATCGCTCTTAAAGAAAAAAAAACAGACACGTTGCTTTAAAAGAAAGGTCGAGGCCATTAGAATAAGTATTTGTATTCTTTTATTTAGCGGCACTGAATGAAGGCAATGATGAAATGGTGGACAGCAGTGCTATGGACCCCGAGATAGAAGGTAAGTGTGGCTTTTTATAGTTTGTAACGGGACCTGATAACCGGTGCTAAAATTCCCAAAAGAAAAAAAGGCCCGCATAAATTTTGCAGCTGTTTCGCCTAAGTGAACAAAAATAGAAACCTGAACCGGGGGTAACGTTGCGTAAAAATTCCCACCTAAATTATTTTTCTTTTAGACAAGTGAGACAAGTGAAGTGGAAATAGGTGTTAGAGCCAGTGGTAACGTAGTGGAAAAGACCAGCCAGCAGTTAATACAGGTTTTTCGTTTTTTCTCTTTTATAGCCTCAATGAACGATGGGCAAGATGATGTATTATTAGCGGCTTTTCGCCATTATGACAGGCGGGGAGGCAACCCTTTATTTCGAACTCCTACACCCCACCCCCCCAAAAAAATTCCACTTTTTTTAATATGAGTAGATGCTAAAAATAATATCTAAAAAATGCTATTATTTGCTTCTTTTCAGGGAAATTTGACTTGCATTTGGCCTAGAAATAAAGCAACAGATTCATTTTTAAACATACCTTGCAAAGACACTTTATTTTGGACCAAATGGCGTCCATCCTGGTTTTCTTTGCATCAACTATGCAAATTTTTTCACTTTTGAATTTTTTTAAAAAAATTATTGAATGTATGGAGAACAATTTATGTTTTTTATAGAGCCAATTTATCTCTCTTTCAAATGGGATATTGCGTAAAACACTGCTGTAAATATCCGCAGAGATATTAATAAAAATATGAAAGTAATCAATTTTGCCCTGATTTCTAAGTGAAGACAATGCTCACATTCGCACCACGCATTTAACTGCACAACTCACCAACCGTAAACACAGTACCAAGACCTCAGCAACAGCTGCAAAGAGAACCAAAAAGACTGTTTCATCAATTAGATCACAAGCCTCAGATGCTGGGTCTAGTTCGGTGGCTGATCGGGTTCTTATCCCTTCGAGCCTTACTCCTACCAGGGAAGAAAATATCACCCAAACGTATCATCAACACTAGCAGATCCGCACCCAATTAAGCAGAAGAAACAGAATTCAAGATGGGTATAATTTCCACCTTTCAACCATCAGTCCAGCCAACCTTCCCAAACAGCTAAGCCACATCTTTACTGATCAGTACACGGTTAATTAAAACCAAAGGCTATAACGTGGAAGAAACATATGAATGCAAATTCAGAGAAGTAAAGAAAACCAATGCAGAATTACAGCGAAACATTGCCACGGAAGTCCGCAAAACCCTAGACAAAGTGAAGATTATGAGCGCACAGCGAATTTTTGGTAAGTGTAGAAAGTTTTTTTTATTTTTGGAGCATTTTGCGATGGTGGAAAACTCTGTTTTTCCATCTAATAGACATAGCTGTATTAAATAGTTACAGTTTGTTTTTAGAACATAAGGCTAAGAATCCAGATCAGATTGAAAGACCAGCTGGATATACCCATTGTGATTTTAGGGATGAGCTTGTTCGCCAGATCTGTGGTTTTGAAGAATATAATGATCCCCTCTGTTACACTAGTGGTAGGCCAAGGGCTCCACCTCCACCACCACCTTCTGTGTTTGCAACCCAACACATCCCTCGTGTTTCTGAAGTCAAGAGAAACTGTCTTGTTTGTTATAAATGGGACAAAGTAGGGAAAAAGATTGCCACCTAATTTTTCTGCATAACAATGTCAGGGTAAATTCACGCATATAACAAGGGAGCGAAATTGTTTTGAAATCTTCCACAGCCCAGAATATTATAGCCAGTAATTCTTTAGCTTTATGATAGATTGTTTTGCAAATCTCTTGGATAAAATTGAAAAAAAAAAAGGATTCAAAGTTAAGTATAAAAAAAAATTAAAATTCCAACAAAAAAAAAATAGTGTTTTACTTGTAAGTGTGGTCCAAAACAAAATTATTCACTGTTTTCTAAGATTTTCTAAAGCCTTGTTTTGTTTCTTTATAGGTAGATGAAGAGGGCATTGTATTGCATCAGGGAGTATCTAAGTATTTGTATCATTTTTAAATGAGCTGATGACA